CACAATTTTCCCCCAATCACCCTCATACATCAATAATATCCTAAACTTACACATTATCAATATTCTAGCTGTTTCCAGAGAGTTCGAGTCCCTGCGGCGCCGTCGTTGACCAGCAGTCTGTTCAGCTCGCCGCCCGCTTACAGACATTTGAGAAGCTGGAACTGATTGAAAAATGACATTTCAATCATATTAATGATTATTGATTATTTTGTTGACAGCTCTACCAGCTGAACCACTTTACTTCCATCAGTAATATTGATCTGTTCTTATACATATTGAATGCCGTAGTGTTACAGTTTATACATGAACTGTTGAAAGCACCACGTTGTCCTCTGTGTGTCTTTCCAGTGTGTGTTTATTAAATTACAAAGGTTATTATTATTATTATTATTATTGTTATTATTGTTATTAGCATCATTACTGAATCATACAGTGTGATCATGTACAGTTTATTTTTTCCAGAATCCAGCGGACTCACTGGGACATGGAGACACCACAACTGTCTGGACTCTAGTCACTTTACAACATACATGTAATGAGGAGGAGGAGGAGGATGAAGATGGACCCTCTGTGAGTATCACTGACTCTCTGAGCCAATCAGCAGCAACCGTCTCAGCTTCTCGTTGCAGTCAGTGTCCTCGAGGACGAGTCGAGAGTAATCGAGTAGTTTTCGACCCGTTTTCACTTTTTCATATCTGATAAAATCCAGATGATTGAATCTCGTTTACACTCAGCCACAGAGAGCGCCACTCGCCGTCCTAAGCCCCGCCCCTTCCTGTCCCGGGCTACGTGGATTAAAGAGACACACGGTCACAACTTAAAGATCCAGGGATTACTGACTGCAACTCCCTCACTTCACCCAAATGTGTCGCTGTGAAATGTGTAAAAAAAAGTCGTTCCTCTTTGAGCAGCTTCAGTCTGAACTGTTACAGACGGCAGCGATGTTGAAATCAGAGATCCAACTGATCACTCACACACACACACACACACACACACACACACACACACACACACACACCACACACACACACACACACACCACACACACACACACACACACACACACACACACAAACCCTGGAACATGGTTATTGATCAGGGGCCGTATTACTCAAACTTATGAGTTTGTTATACAGAGACAAACAATAACTGAACACTCTTTAATGTTCGTTACCGAGCAACCGACGCTTCTTTTCTTCAGATAAAAAACTGTTTCAATGAGAAAAACCAACAAACTGAAAAGTAGCATGAACAGATTTGACTCCGGAGATAAAGGAGACATTCAGTTTGTGAAAGAGTGAAAGAGTGAAAGAGTGAAAGTGAGGAGAGTTTATTTCAGATTGTGGGAAGTTCTAACACATTTATCTCGTCCTCACTACAGTAAAGTTTCTGTAATACGACCCCAGAACTGTCTCCAGGTTTCTGCCCGTCTGTCTGCAGCTGGATCAGGAACCCGGATCAGGAACCCGGATCAGGAACCCGGATCAGGAACCCGGATCAGGAACCCGGATCAGGACTTTACAGGACCCAGTAACATTCAGGACTGATACACGGTTGGTTGTGTGTGTTTCAGTTGGGTTGAGATCATTTTCACACTCTCACTTTATGAGCCGTCTGACTGCAGTTCTGCTGCCGTCCACGGGGGGGGGGGATGACGCCGTTTGGCTAAAGAAACCCCAGAAGAAGAAGAAGAAGAACTTGTGCCGTCACTAAATATATAAAATATAAAAACTTGCTTCCACAAGTTTCTGATGAGTTTCTAAAATAGTGAAAATGTCGACATCTCGTGGATTAAAAGATGAATCTATTAATCTAATAGTTAGATTATTATTCTGTATAATCAATCAATTCATTATTCAGCTAATTATTGATCGTTGTGTGAAACTGATCAGGATCGTTCGGTTGTTCAAACTGACGTTCTGCTACAATATTAAAACATAATCTGACACATAAAAGAACATCAGAAATTACAATCTAATCGGATTAGGATTAATTGACCTTCCTAAGCCCCGCCCCTTTTCTCTATGTGGTCCAATCACAGTCGAGCAAACCTCCGTCAACTTCCTCCTTTCCTGTACTGAGACATGCTACGTGCTAAGCTAATGTTGAAAACTCAAGTAAAGTACAAGTAGCACAAAAAACTGTACTTGTATACATTTACTTAGTTACAATCCACCGCGGGTTAATAAAGATCGTTTATTGATCCCAATTATTGATTTCCATGATTACTAATAATCGGTGTTTGTATCGGCCCTCAGAACGTCTCAGTCGATGAATGTGTTCACGGTCAGTACAGGACAGGTGGAAGGAGAGCGAAGTCCTGACCGAGGCTCGCTGCACTGTGATTGGATCAGAGCAAAAAGGGGGCGGGGCTTAAGA